GGTGGAAATGGGAATTTCATTGAAGCAAATTAAGTTTTACAAAAAGTGGTCCGATACACAATACAACCATTTCTATCATGAGAGTAACTAGAGGAACAAAAAGACGGAATAGAATCAAAAATGACAAAAGGGGCTTCCATGAGAGCTCCATGCTTGGCAAGTGTATCAGCCACACCATTTGCTTCAAGATATGTGTGCTTGATCAGCACCTGTTCAAACTGTTGGGTCAACAATCTGCAAGATGCAATCGAAGTCTTATGATTTAAGCATTTCATAGAGCAATCTGCTAAAGCATTGACTACAAAAGTAGAATCAGTTTCCACTTCAACCAGTTTAATCTTTAATTTCGCAGCTAATTCCAAGCCGATTTTGATGCCCCAAAGCTCAGCATCATTATTTGTTCCATATCCAAGATTCTGTGCAAAGCCCATGACCCAAGTACCCTCATGATTTCTAATTACTCCACCAGCACCAGTGCAAGTTTGGCTGAAGTTAGAAGATCCATCAGTGTTCAGTTTAAACCACCCCTCCCTTGGAGGAAGCCATCTAATAGGAAGGTAGGTGCAGGAAGTAATTCTCCTAAGATGGGGATTAGAGGAGCAGAATTCTGCAGTAAGGCCTATACTTTTTGAGGCAATTTCCTGCAAGTTAGAGTAGTTGTGGAAACAAAGATTGTTTCTATCACGCCATAGGTTCCAAACAAGGTAACAAAAATAAGTTGCCTCAAATACTTCGGAGCTTGTAGAACAGAATCTCATGTAAAGTTTACCTACTATCACGCCATAGGTTCCAAACTAGATTGTTTTTATCAAAGGCTACATTTGGAAGCAGCACCCTCTACTAGTCAATTACTTTAGCACACTCTAAGAGATGTAGGGCCTATAGCTGGCTAATTTTAACTTATGTCAGGGGTTCGGAGTACCCTGTACTCCAATTCCATAAATCTCTTGCGCTTCTCAAAAAAAAAAAAACTTTAGCACACTCTTAAGAGATTACTTGACCATTCATGTAAAGGAAATGTAAATGCCTTTCCTTTTAACCATAAAAATGTTCTAATTTGAATGGCTTGGAACGTACTTTCCACTGATGCGTCTATTTCTCTGAAAATGAAATTGGTCCGGGCAATGCAAAGTGACCATACGATGACAATAAAGACAAAGTTGACGTGAGGTTGCTGTTTGGAATTAATTATTTGGGGTCATGTTTTCCACTTGACGTTAATTTAAGGACCACACTTTCCTTATCTTTGCATTAGATAATTAACCCTCTAAAAGCCATCTGTCTAGATGCCTCCTGAATTGCATTTGGAAGTACGGCCACGTATCTCCACCAGCTGAAAATTTTCATCCACAATTGATAATCAAAAGCTGCAAATAAGCACGATGTGTTCTTCATCCTCAGCTTCTTCTCCACATCTCCCACAACTGTCAACGTTGACAACACCTCCCTCCAGTTGGAAGCCTTTCGTTTTCAGGTTGAATTTGGTTGGCAATCTATCCAAGAAAAGTCTCAAGCAAAAAAACTAACCCTTGCAAAAAATTATTCCTCATAGCTTTACAAAAATCTTTCTCCAAGACTATGTGCTGAGTTAAATAATCATAAGTTTTATTAAAGTGAAACAAAAAGTTAATTGTTAAATCTTTTAATTTTATGAAGATAATTTTTTATTTAAATTAATTTTTTAATCATATTTTTCATGATTTATTAATTTTTTTTATTTTAACCCTATAATTTAAGAGAAAAGGAAAAATTAAGACGTTTTGACATTAAAAATATTAAAACATCTAATAATAGCTACATGATGAATTTGATAAAATTAGACTCCATACTATACTTTGCACATTTAATGATTGTAAGTGAACTTCTTGATATTTTTAATGCCAAAATGTTTTGATTTTCTCTTTTCTAATAATTTAAAGCTCATCTTTATTATAGATGATAAACAAAAGGCATTATGCCAATGATATAAGCAATCCAGTAATAGTATTTGCTTCGAGGGGATTAAGAGATCTTAAATTTAAATTATAGGTATGTAAAATTAAGATGATAAAGTGCTTATCTTTTATTATACAAAAAAATGTATTATAGGAAAGAAAAAGAGACTATATACCTATTTTACAATTAAAATTGTACTAGACTATTAAATAAGGGTAATTAGACAAGATGCTTATCTCTATCTAATAATTATAATTGTGTAGTTTAATATAATCTACACTACACAACGCTTTTTCTCATTAGCAACTATAACTTTGCATGTGCAAGAAATTAGTAGCATCAAAACAAAAAAATTAATGATTTTAATGACAACCAAAATAAGAAAAAAAGGTTTGAATGCCATTTTTAGTGTTTAAACTTTTAATTTTAAACATTTGAATCTCTAACTATTTTTCAACTTCTTTTCCTTAAATTATGAAAAATATACTTTTTAATCTTAATTTTTATCTCTGTTAAGTCTATATATATATATTTGGTAAATAAGTCTATCTATATATGCATAGAGGGATAGACTTAATGACTAATTGATGAAAAGATTAAAAAAAGTACTTTTTTCATAATTCAAGGACAAAAAAAGTGTAAAAAATAATGTAAGGACTAAGAATGTTTAAAATTAAAAGTTTAAGGACTCAAAATAACATTTAACCAAAAAAATCAGATAACAATTAGATATTCTTTGCCTCAAGCAATAGACTTTTGACAAAACATGACCAGAAAGTCTCTTATTCACATATATATGAGGGATAATAGCTATACTATTTAACATTACAAGTTCATGTACCTTTGCCTCTGTCTATTCTAAACGAGTGAAGAAAATTTTAGCAGCTTCTTTTACATGATCTGGAAGATATTCAAACATTTATGTCTTTTAGACTAAAAAGGATGGAAAAAAGAGAGAAGAAAACTGTAGCAGTAGTGTGAATCTGTACGCGTCCTGGAAACTGTGGTTGTGGAAAAATGCTGCAAAGAGCTGGATATGCATTATGAGGTTGGTATTTATCTCCGTCTATCTATCTATCTATTTATATGTCTTCTCATTATCTATGAGAGAATCTTAGATACATCTATGTTAATATCCTTTTTTTTCTCGCTATCTGGGAATTAATATCCATAGGTATATCTGCATATGAGAAACAGGGTTTCTGAAGAGATAAAAGGAAGAACGTAGCTAGAGCTAGTCAGCTTCTCTTCTCAGGACTCAAGGTACGTATATTTAGGCTGCCGGCTTCACTTTCTCATATTTTTCTTCTTTCTCATATTTATGCGCATAAATATGCGCATTCATTTTTTCCCAATGTTATCTCTCTCTCTCATTTATGCACATATTTAGGCCGCCGGCTTCACTTTCTCATATTTTTCTTCTTTCTCATATTTATGCGCATAAATATGTGCATTCATTTTTTTCCAATGTTATCTCTCTCTCTCTCTCTCTCTCTCTCTCATATTATTTTTTAATTCTTTCATCTCATCAAGGAATGAAATTAACATAACACATGTGGAGATAATTTGATAACTGTAAGTCCAGAAATGAACGAAAGAATATACTCCTATATTATAGACGTTAATTCGAACATGCACTTGCATTTAGCAAAATTTTGCATTATTATTATCACTATTGTTTCTTATATAGTCATAATTTGTATATACACACCCTAAATTTTATTGACTCATATTATACTGTGTAAGCAATATATTTAAATTTTATTGATCCATTATACTATGGCGGCGAGTAAGAAATATGCCTATTACATTGTTGATGTTTCCATATGAAGATAATTTAAACTATATCAAATGAGAAATGATTTTTTAGTCTTTTAATTATTCCACATTCATCTCACTAACATTTCCAATATTTTAAACTTTATTTGCATCAATTAATGTAGACTTAGTTTTATCAGACCTAAAGAAGCTACTACATGCGTTGACTTTGATTTCATTTTTAGGAGTCCTGACAAGATTTAAGTATATATCAGGTAGGAGAGTATCCAAGATGGACAATGCATGTCTTTGAATTTGATAAGAGTATTCAAGTAGTTATCTTTGCATTATATATTGGCTCATTTACTTGAAAAATGAAAGCATGAAAATTAGATTGAGGAAAAAATGAAAGTAAAAATTTTAAATTTAAATTGTATGAGTGGGTTAAAGGATGTGAGAAATTTATTTTTATTGTAAAACTTAAGTTAAAAAAAATTATTTATGTTATAGCTAAGTTTCTATCTTTGTTTTTCACTTCGTAGGCTATTTATAGTCCATTTGGCAACTTTAATATTCCTATTCTATAAAGATGAGTTCAAATCACACAAAAAAAGGGGAAAATTTCTCTTCTTAATTTGTTTATAATTAATAAATTTCATGAAGTAGTCTATAGAGATTGAGAAGATTGATCCATCTACAAAACTAACAATAGTGGGGGTATAGGAGTGGGTATGAGGTGTGGAGTTGTGTGACTAAAATTGATTATATCAAGATTATATCTTTTAATGTAAGGGGTTTGGGTGGGACGGTGAAGAGGAAGGAAGTGGGAAAGCTAGTTAGAGAGGAAAGGCTGGAATTTTTGTTCCTGCAGGAAACAAAGTTAGAGAAGATAGATGTGGGTATGTGTAACCTTTTATGGTATTTTGATGAATTTGAATGGGTTGCGAAGGCCTCTTCTGGAGCATCAGGGGGTTTGCTATGTCTATGGGATAGGAGGCATTTTGTTAAGCGGGAAGAATTTACTGGTGATGGGTATGTGGGAATTTCAGGGGAATGGGGAGTTAATAAGCAACAATGTAGTCCAAATGATAGACAGAAGAGGGCTAAGTTGTGGGAGGAGCTGAGGAAGATGGTGATAGAAAAGGAAGGGCGGTGGTTGATCGCAGGGGATTTTAATGCTGTTCGAGGCCCGGAGGAAAGACGAGGAAAATCAGAGGTGAGGGCAGATATAAGGGACTTTGAGGAGTTCATTGAGACAACAGGTTTGGTGGATGTCAAATTGACGAATAGAAGATATACATGGTACAAGCCAGATGGAACAACAAGGAGCAGACTGGATAGATTTTTGTTGACTATGGAGATGAACAATTTGGGAGGCGAGTGGATACAACAGGGATTGCCAAGAAACATATTTGATCATTGTGAAATGGTTTTGAAGTCCAAAGCAACTGATTGGGGAACAAGACCTTTTAGAGTTTTGGATGCATGGCAACAACATCCAAAATTCAAGAAGGTTGTAGAAGATAAGTGGAGAGATATGGTAGTGGAGGGGTATGCAGGGTATAAATGCCAACAAAAGCTAAAATTGTTAAAAGAATTTTTAAAAGGATGGAACAAGGAGGTATTTGGGAACATGGAAGCCCAGTATGTGCAGGCTGTTAAAAAAATAGAGCAGGTTGATATGCAGAATGAGGTAGCTGACTTGGAAGAATTTGAGATTGTTAAAAGGCAAGAAGGATTTGATGAGATGTGGGATTGTTTGAGAAAAAGGGAACTAATTTGGAAGCAGAAGTCAAGGAGCAAGTGGGTGCGAGAGGGTGACGCGAATACCCAATTTTTTCATAGAGTGGCTAATGGAAGAAAGACTCAAAATAGTATTGCAGGTTTGATGTGTGATGGGGGGTGGATTGAAGATCCAGATGCAGTTAAAAATGAGACTGTTAAATATTTTAGAAGTTGTTTCCAAGGTGACTCATGGAATAGACCCAAGCCCAATGGTATTAAATTTAAAAAGATCTCTGAGGAGAAAAAAGAATGGCTAGAAAGACCATTTGCGGTTGAAGAAATTGAGGAAGGTTTAAGGAGTTGTAATGGTTCAAAGGCACCGGGACCGGACAGGTACAACTTCAATTTTCTTAAATCGGTGTGGCATTGCATAAAGGAGGATTTCATCAGTTTTTTCTCTGAGTTTCATCGGAATGGTAAACTGGTGAGGGGCCTAAACTCTTCCTTTTTAGCTTTGGTGCCTAAGAAATTGAATGCTGTGAATTTAAAGGATTATAGACCCATTAGTTTGATTGGATGCGTCTATAAATTATTAGCGAAGGTATTGGCTAATAGATTGAAATCGGTGATGTCAGAAATTGTGAGTGAAACTCAATCTGCTTTTGTGAGGGGCCGTCAATTGATTGATAGTGTATTGGTGTTGAATGAAGTAGTAGATGAGATAAAGAACAGGAAGCAGCTAGCTTTTGTCTTTAAGGCAGACTTTGAAAAGGCATATGATTGCGTAGATTGGTCTTTTTTAGACTGGATGATGGATAGTTTTGGTTTTAGAATAAAGTGGAGAGGATGGATTATGGAGTGTCTTTCAACTGCGAGAATTTCGATTTTGGTAAATGGAAGCC